TGTTTGTCTATGGAAGGACCGGTCATACATTCTGCTATGCCGCGTTGACTCACGGGCTTGACCTTCTTACGGCCCCTCATATCTATTTTATGATCGATAATACTAAGTTCTGCACACTACGGAGCAATCTGGCAGCAATGGACGTTTTTGGCTGAAGGAATGAAAATGTACGGATCGGCCTCACTTTGTTCCTTATTTCCAAAGGCCAAAAAGGCCTCTTTATTCCTTAAAAGTACTATATTACTTAAAAAAAACACTGGGTACAAAGCGAGAAGTCCTGTCATCATCATCGGCCATGTCGACGTCAGAGTGCCCGCGCGTGAAGCTGTTTGCTATACTAGTTAAAGCAATAACTTTGATTTAGCTATAAAGTCTCTGTAGCCCGTTCGGTTGGCTTTATGAAAATGCGTAACCTCTGTCCGGCCGTCGCAGTTACCTTCTACCAAAGTATGTGCGCTTTGCGCAGAATTTAAGCTATAAAGACAAGCAATAGTTAACTCAATTGGTGTTCCTGGCCTCGCAGTAATTCGTTAGCCAACTTCCACTCCGGGGCATAGGCACTCGGGGTCTTGGCCTGCAGGACCCGTCCACATTCACACAATGCCTAAGTCTTGCAAATGCGGCAACCTTTTCTGTAATAAATTACACCTCGAAATCCATGAACGGTTTGCCTCATTGGTACAGGTCGCTTGCAATCATGCCGTACACATCTTCATACATCAGTCCAGAATGACTACATCCTGCTTACATTCGTCATTCATATAGGCAATATTGCGATATCATTACGATCATCGATGGACCTTGAGGAAGAGCGTGCTACATGCATAGCCAGAAACAAAGCTAAGTTAGCAGAGCTTGGTCTTTTGCATTCACCTCCCCAGTCCAACAAAATTACAAGCACTGGATTGAAATCCCGCCGACTTCGTAGAAGGATCGACCAAGCAGTGCAGCCGGCGGTCGACCTTGTCCGCCCTACATCACGGCACAGTAGGAGAGAGGTCACAGCCATTACAGGAACTGTTACCACTGAAGAGTCCGAGGAATACTGTGAATTGAAATCAGCACATGAGCGCATGGTAAAGCTGTGACCTTTTGCGCCGCCGATTATCCTGATGATTTTGCTTGCTTTACTTGTCAAGCACGATTCCCTCTTTCTTTGCTACCCATTCCTTTCGCATTATCGAAGGAGGCTATTCAGAACGTTCCTGAACCTAGTCAAGGTGACCTTCCTGGCCTTCAAGGCATTCCAGTGGAGGTTCGG